TAATGCCAAATATAGGTAACACAAACAACATCAATGTTCACACAAATAAATGTGCTTCCCATCACCATAGAATTTTATATATGTGCTGTTGTTGTTGCTGCTGCTGCCGCTGTTAAAGATTCCATCTTTCTTCAAGGAGCTCTGAGTAGTGTATATCTACCCATCTTTCATCCTCACAACAACCCTGAAGGGCCATTTATGGCTAATCAAGAACTTCAATCTGCAGTCACCAACAGCCTAGTCACTTGCCCATGTTGGATTGTTCATCTGTTTATAATCATTATTATTATTATTATTATTATATAATAATAATAATAATAATAATAATAATAATAATAATAATAATAATAATAATAATTGTTGTTGTTGTTGTTGTTGTTGTTGTTGTTGTTGTTATTGTTATTGTTATTGTTATTGTTGTTGTTAGTAGTAGTAGTAGTAGTAGTAGTTGTTGTTGTTGTTGTTGTTGTAGTACTAGTAGTGTTATTGTTATTATAACATTCATTATTTATTTAATAGTTTCAGTTTATTCTTGCCTTTCCTTCAGTGAGTCCTCCTGGTCATGGCTGAGTTGGATGGCTCAACTACCATCGCGAAATCCCAAAGGTGGAGTGGAAGATGGATGCTCCCCGGGCACTCTCCTGTTCAGGAGTCTTGGAAGACGTATGGCTGATTCTACCCTTGTGCGCAAAAGATGGAGAGTGGTTCCTCCCAGGCTTCCAAAAGTCTTCTGATCCCAACAACGACACTCCCCTTTACTCATCTTACTACTACTACTACTACTCCTTTACCCCTGGCTCCCACCTTGTCCTCCAGCTGTGGTTCATCCTCCTCCACATTCCCACCTGGGTGACCCTATACTGCTGTCTGCTACAGGATCCCTAACTGGACCTTTGGAAGGTGTGGAACAAGGAAGTTGGCCTGCTGGGGAATATAGAAACACCCCCCTTATGTGATAGTATTAAGCAGAATAAATATCTGAGCTGCCAACATCAAGCTAGCCTTGGCTGGCTGAGGGGCTAATATTTTTGAAGGCCATACATTTATAGTCAACCAAATTGCCCTTCTTGTGAAATTAAAGAGCAACATGTGTACCCCCATTGGTTTTATGTCACATCTAACTAACATATAGAGCTAATTGCAGTACAATTCCATTGAAAGAACCTGTGCTCACCTAAGCAGTTCTATAGATGTCAATATTCAATTTGCACTTCACTGAATATATTAAAATGAGTACTGTGTGTTATCAGCAGAATGGAGGAGCTAGTACATTATATCAAGGTGTGCATTTCAATCATAATGACGCATATATAATTGCATACAAAACCACTATATAAAATGTACACGTCAGCAACAGAAGCCTACAAAAATGATAAATCCTCTTTGTAAAAATTAACTATTTGTCACGATCAAGTTCATTTCCAGCATCTTCTTGTTCAAAAACATTAATATATGAAAAATCATACCAGAACGTGAAAAAGTTATCTGGTTGGGCTGAAACTCTCAAAATCTGTCCCACACCCCCACCCCAGCAAATGTCTCCAGACTCCAAAATATGTGCAAAACAATATTAGGTTTTTTTCTTTATTGATTATTGATTTATTTTATCTATATTCTAACTCTCAGTGGAGGACTGAAGATGTCTCACAATTTGGTCATGTTATCAATTTTTTCAAAGAAGGACATCCTATATCACAATTAACTTTAACCAACCCAATTTTTATATTAAAGGAGGAGTGTGGGACACTTGTGTTAAGATGAAGCTGGTGAAGAGTATGCTCATGAAAGAAAGAGATAGCCTTCATTTGCCTGTTTCTGCTCTCTCAGTTATTGTACCATAGTAAGAAGAGAGATCTTAAGGCTCCTGATATACACAGGCTCATACATTACAGAGGGCATGACAACAAGTTCAAATATTAGTTAGAATTGACTATACTGACTCACCAAGTCAGACCATCTCCAAAGCAATTGGATTATAGATCAAGTGCATGGCAACAAACACATTTGATTGATGTGCTATATACCCAAATACATATACTGCCATCTCTCAACCTATTTGTCTAGAAGAGAGGGCTGGAACCAAGGAAGCTGTCATGGCTAGTAGAAGGAACTTCTGTTCTGCTGCCTCTTATGTTGAGTAAAGTCTGGTCAACCTTTGGCCATCCAAGTGTTCCCTGCTATGATGTCCACCAACCCCTTCTAGTGTTCACAATGGTAAGAGGCAGTGGGAATTTTAGTTTACAACCTCTGGAGAGCCAAAGTGTCCTCACTCTTGCAAAAGAAAAGAAGAAAGAGAAAAAGTAGAAACACTTACATTGTCCATCGCAAGTTTCTGGCCTGAAATGGCCATGGTCTAGATGTTTCTGCCTTATCTTTGGTCTTTTATCTGGGCTACCAACATGTCTGTTTGGCTCTTGTCCGCATTTTTGCATTTGCCATTCTTCTTACTAGTGGTGTGGCTATACCCTCTTCTTCAATTCCAAATTATTTGCTTTACAAATAACAACCAATTCACTTCAAATCTATTTGTTGCCCATCCACTTTGATTTTTATCAGAATATTTGAAAATGTTCATATGTATCCATATGAGTCCAAATAGTGACAAAAACATTACAATGGGGGAAATAAAAAGCTTTGGACTGGGATGGGGAGGGAACTCAGTGCCATCAGCTACTTCTCATCCTTCCTTGTCTAGGCAAAACTCCCACCAGTTCCTTCCTTCCTTCCATTCCTGAAGAGAAATGGAACACGCATATATGGAAGTCCCATATACTAATACATACTTACTCACAGATTGCAAAACTGGCCTCTATCTTGATATCTAATTGGAGAAACAGGGCTACAATATTCCACCCAAATTTATGGACCTGGTGCACAGTCACATACATTCAGCCTGATGAAAATGAAGAGAATATATAATTATAGGCAGAATTCAGTGTTCATTTTTATTACACAGTCACATACATTCAGCCTGATATAGGCAGAATTCAGTGTTCATTTTTATTTTGCTGAAGGTAAACACATTAACACATCCAATGCAAACCATTTGTGTGATTCCCCTCTATTTCATGAGGCACTCTGTGTTTTTCCTTGTTTTATGTGACTTTCCTCTTCACCGCCTATGCTTGGGCTGTCTGCAGAAACGTCAGTTTCCTGGCGACTCCTTCCCTCTGCTTTCTGCTGGCTTCCTTCCCCGGGTGGTGGCGCCAAGATGCCTCCTTGTGGAGCTGCCTTTTGCTGAATCTCAGCTTGGCTTCAGAAAAACCTTCTTAGCCAAGTGCCTGCAGGTAGAAGGCCAGATTGTGCTGCCAGGGCTGTACTACCTGTTGTGGTGCCACCCAGGATAAAGATGTCAATTCCTGAGTTTTTGATAGCTAGACATATACCTCTTAGAAGGCACCTGATTACTCCTTCTGTACCCATCAAAGCCCTTTACTGCACTTATTTCAAAGGGAAATACTTTTGTCTTCATTAAGAACTCTTGACACCAACAGCACCAACTAATGCAGGAAGATAAAGCTAAAAGTCCTCTTGGTCCAGGTTAAGACAGTAGAGCTACAATCCAATTCATACTTGCTTCATAGTAAACTTCACCAAGCTTTGGATCTACTTCTGAGTAAATGTGCATAGGTTTGATCCTGTCCATGCTTACATAAAAGGAACCCCCACTGAACATATTGTGACTTTGTGCATGGGGACCTGCAACATGAAAACTGATGATTAGCATTACACTCTCCATAAGATACTACACACACACACACACACAGAGAGAGAGAGAGAGAGAGAGAGAAATGCAGCTCCTCATATTTTTCTTTAACATTTAAAAAGGGTGGAAGGAAATATCTAAATATAACTGGGGAAAATAAAACTGAATATATACGAAAAAACTGCTTCATAGCTGTGCTTCTTCACTGTACAGTACTTGCGTTTCCCCAGCACTGTATATCTCAATGGCAAAATATCCAAGTAGTGGTTTGCCATTGTCTCTATCCCATTAAATCCCTCTGGGCAAAGATGGGTTTGGGCCCACAGCTCCTGAATTTCAGTCCCACAGTCTGTCCACTGCAATACATTGGTGCCCTGGCGACATGCCTCAAATTCCACTGAGCTACCAATTCTAGGATTCTATGTACAGTAGTGCAGATAAACTCAAGGAAACAATACTTTTTTAATATACCAAAGAGAAGGAACTATATGTAAAAAAAGCAGACTTCTGTTCAAATCAAGGCAATATATAAAATTTAAAAATTGAGACAGTAACTGTATGCCAAACATTAATTTTTTAATCAGTTCATATGTTTCTAATTCTTGATTTCTGATGTCTTATATGATCTGTTTTTAAACATTGCAGACTTTCACTGCCATATTTATAGTACATGCTAGTATTTTGGTACATACTCTTGAGAGAAAAAAGCTATGCTCAAGGAAGTTACACTAAAATTACATTAAGTGAACTAATTTCATAGAGTACTGTATATTGGGTTTAATATATTTATTAGACCAACCAAGAAGATACCAAAAATATGCAAGGTTTCAGGATTTTCATATCTTTTTCTTAAGTATAATAAAAACATTAGCAGCATACGGATTTTGGCACAACGACACAGTTACCTCTTTCACAATATGAACAGATATAGACAGGTAAAAAGTGTTAATCATTATTGTTTCCCAGTAGATTTTTTTTCCGGTTTTGTGGAAGACCTCTGGGTGGCGCATGTGAGTCTACCTAGAAGGGAAAGACCCTCGTTCGTTTTTGAGTTTGCAGATGTCTCAAAGTGGAAAGAAAGCGACTCAGGAAAAAGTTTTCAGGGAAGTCCTCTGAAAGTACAAAGTAAGTGTAGGACCAGCAAAGCAGAAGGTGCATGCTGACCCTTGCAAAAGAGTAGTAGACTGGAAAGACCCATTGTATGTTGCCCATCCACATGCCGTGTTGTATCTAGGAGTGGGATGCCCCTGAGCAACTGTGAAAACCGCTTCAGTTGCTTGAAACTGGATATTATCGGCATTTCATTGACCTACTGATTGCTCGCCTGGAATTCAACATTGTTATTCAATTATATACAAGGTAAGATATATATATATATTTTAAAAAATAAGGAATTTTTTTGAGAAAGCTAGCTACTGTTCAGGGTAGTGGTCAAGATTAAGCTGTCAGACAGTGTTTCAGAATGTGTGTAATATATAATAACCTGATGGAATAATACCACTTTTGAAGGAATGGTGCTCTCGAAAGACTACATTTCATTTTCCCCCTTTGTTTTCCCCATTTCCCTAAAAATACGTATGTTATTATGTTATGTATGTTATTCTCGGCTGAGGATTTGTTCAAAGTATGAGGTTTACTTTACAGTAGTCATTGTAATAAAGTATGATTTGTTTTTGCTATCTGGCTATTTGAAATATAAGTTACAAATCAGTTTAGAGGTTGAGTTAGTTGTGCGGAGAGATTACAGTTTCATTGTTAGAATAGTACAAGAACATTCATATGATGTTTTATGTGCTGGCTAGAACAAAGAATATTACAGCAAGGCGCCTCAGCACCCGCTGAGATGAGCTTGATTGAATGTGGGGAATTACATACTTGTAAATACAAGTTTAGGAGCGTGCATGGGTTTGTTTCTTGGAGAGAACATCCTCGGCAGTGCTTATCATAAGCAACAGGGAACCCAGGTAATAGAGATATGAGAAAATGATCACATTCTGCGAGATTTTTGAAAGGATTGTTTAGCTGAGCTGCTGAATGGAAGAATACATAGGACCATTTATGAATTTCAGGACAATGCTTTCTTTTAGAGCTATGCAAACTGCAGATATTTAATTAAACTGTTCACTGTGTGACTGGAAAGGATGAAATCCTCATTTGATTTCAATTTGCAATATGCAGATGGGTCAAAGTTGGCTTGCATTGCACAGAAGCGTAAGAAAGGTGCAGATGAACAAACCTGCCCAGGCATCTTTTGACCAGCAGTGGTCACTACATTACTGCAAATGGATGGGGCAAAACTGAAGGAATTTGCTATTTAAGGGTTTCGGAGCATCTCAGTTATGTAAATTAAACCTAATAGACCAAAACATGCCACAGAATATGTTTTGCATACTTAGCGGTAGGCATGCCCTCAGGTCTTTGGCTAAGAGGCACAGGTTCTCCTTCCTAACTCAGTAACACAATGAATGGGTTTTCATTGCATTTGATGGCAGTGGGATTCTACCCATCATAGAGTTGCCCCACCCATTGACAGAGAAGGAAAGAACCAACTGTTCAGTGACTCTAAATGCCCACTAAATGGTAGGGTAATTGATCTCCCTTCTTCATCCAGGGACTACGACCAGCAGCTGTCTATTACTTCTTAGGGTCACTTGCCAACACAGCACAGAAGAAAATTCCTTTCTGACCAGTTAGACAATGAGGAAAATTCCCCTGACCTCACAAAGTCAACCTGAAATAAATGTACTAAGGGTTCAGTTCCTAAACAACCATTATCTTGCCGCTTGGTTAGAACATTTTCTTCTGCTCCTAGCAGGTGGAATACATTTCTTTACAGGGAGGAAGCCATTCCTGTACCCAATGCCCAAGACCCCAATATGAAGGTTTTTCTTGTGCATATTTCCATGTAAATTGACATGAAAACCGAAGGTCTTAATTTTCGTGGTATGTGAAAGGGAAAGTGTCAGTGGCCTTTTAATTTATCTTCCAGGTTATTGATGCTGTGTGTATCTAATGATAACAATACCACTATATTCTTACTAATACAGGTGCTTTACAAATGTGTATCTCTACTGACATTGTTCCTTTAGTCTGTCTGCCGTCTCTCTCCCTCTCTCCCTTCCACTGGATATTGCTACCCTCCTATCTTTTCCATATGTATAACCATGCTTATTCTCCATGTATGTCAATAAACCTTTTGAGGCAGTGACTCCAGTTCTGTAGGATGTATAATATTGAATACAGGCACTTACAGCGGCTGAGTTTCTGAGGTATTGATTTTGGGATATACACTCTGTGCAATAAAACACATGCATGCACACACACCTGCTACACTGTGACATTCATTACTGAAAATTTATTCAACATCCAGTACTGGAATGAGCATAAAGGACTTCTCAATGTCCCAAGAAGGACAGGACTGGATACTGTCATGAGCACCTAAATTATGGGTACCCAATTGCTGTAAAGTCAATGAAACTGTAAAATAGCCACACTTCATGAAAATGAAAACATTAATTGGCTCAGGTGGGCAGAAGGAAGTCAGCTGAATGACTAAGAGCAGAAGCATTTAATTTAATCTTCCTTGGCTGAGAAATTCTGAAATATTTCATTAAAAAGCCACTGAGGAGAAAATAATGATTAAATGTTAATGTTTCTAATTATTCCCCCAAGACATTTTTTTTCTAAGTGCAGATGCAAAACTTTAAGCAAAGGAAATAAATTACCCCTGGCGGCAGCCTCCCTGGCTTCAAACCTCGCTCCCTGTGCCAAAGTTTGACCTTGGCTGAACTGATGCAAATCTGGACTGCACATTTACCTTCAGTGAAAACAGTGGGAGTCATGAGCTGTCTGTGAAGGGACAATTGCCAGAGGGGTGAAGGAGCTACAACCATTATATGTGCCTATATGCACATCATGGTATGCTAATCTATATACAGAAGTGCAGCCAGCATGATCTCAGTTCTCCTGGTGGGACCTGATGCAGTTGTTTCCCTGACAAAACTGCTTCCATCACTGGAATCAGGAAGGGGTACCATGTTTCCCCCAAAATAAGACAGGGTCTTATATTAATTTTTGCTCCAAAAACACATTAGGGCTTATTTTCAAGGGATGTTTTATTTTTTTTCATGTACAACAATCTACATTTATTCAAATACAGTCCTGTCATCTTCTTCTGGTTGCTGCACAATGGTGGAGGGCGGGGTTTCACTGAACTGGGGCTTATTTTTGGGGTAGGGGTTATATTACGAGCATCCTGAAAAAACATACTAGGGTTTATTTTCAGGGAAACAGGGTATATTTCCTCCTGCTGCATCTTCTATACCAGTCATTCTCAACTTTATTTTTTGGCCATAACCTTTTTAGGAGCTCTTGTGAGGTTCCAGGGCCCCCTGTCAAACAAGGATACAACACAAACAGATATCTTTCAGAAAATTCTCACATTTTTCATTCTGTGGCCCCTTTCAAATGCACCAGGGTCCTCACTGAGAATGGCTGGTCTAGACCTCTAGAGATGGTGAAACCCCCTCAAGAAGGCTTGTGGGCAACAGAGAAAAGCATGAAAATGTGTCATTACGCTAGCAAAGGTCTTGGCAGGCTTCATTCTAGGACAAACATGCACTTAAAGGTTTGAGGGTAAGCTAAATAAACCAAGCCTATTGTGACACAGAAGTGAAATAAACATGAGGAAGGGAAGAGAGGAGCAGCAGTTTTGCAGGATGAGAGAGAGAAGATGCCACCCCTGCACATAAGGTTTGTCTAAATGAAAGCCGAATTATGATTAGGACTATATCTACTTCAAGAAAAACACATAAAAACTACGATCCATAAAACATTCTTGTAACTCAGAAAAGAGTTATGAGAATTTTCAAGAACCAGAGGACAAGCCTAGAAGTGAGCCGCTAAACACAGCCAAGCTATTTATCATATCAAAAAGAAGCCGGTGAGTTGTCTACGGGCTACAAATACTTTACTGGGAAGAAAGCATTTCATTATGAAATGCAATCTAATCTAGAAGCCAAGGGTCCAATATTTAAAAATGTGGAATGTTAAAATGCATTAAACATATTCTAACACAGAAGATAATTTAACCATTAAGAAATATTGCCATTGGAGTGGCAATTTGACCTCAGCTGTCTGACAATACAACTCCAATATATTATGCTTCGGTCAGCTGTGATATGCATGCTATTAATTATTGTATATTTCTTAGAATAAGCATCATTTATTTCAATGGCTGAAATCCTGTTGTTTAGCATAATGAGATGCGACTAGAATAGGCCAATTTGAATCAATGGAATTTACAGGGGAGTTGACTTATCAAATCCCCACTGATTAAATTGGTCTATTCTAATTGCTACTGTATGCTAAGCAACAGGATTTCAACCAAATCCTGAGCTCACTCCTAAGGAGTTTTGCATTTATGCTGGTCCTGGATAGAACAGGGTGGAAATTGCCAACCTTTTGTTAAGGTAGAGCAAAGATGAGAGAGGGGTGTGGAGCCTTGGACATTGGACTAGAACTCAGAAGACCTGGGTTGAAATCCCACTCAGTGATGCAAACTTGGAGGGTGGCAATAGGAAACCATGCCTTAAACATCTTATATACCTATGAGGCTTGTTGTAAGGACTGACTTGATGGGACATAATGACAGCTGGCCCATGATGACCACATTCCTGAGCCAGGGAACCCCCTTCGGTGGTTGTGGTAGTAACATGCCCTTTGATCCTCTTCCATAAATGACATCACTGTCGGTCTCAATTTGCACATGGAAAATGGAACACTTCTGTATATCCTTCATTTTTGGACAGCAATTTTCAGAGCTAGGCTACTGGCTATACTAGCTGACGGATTCTAGTAGTTTTAGTTCACAAATGTAACTTTTCCAAGCTCTGATGGATGAGGCCCCAAGGCATCCCTGGTTTAGGTAAAGAAATGGAACATGAGGCAAAGGTATGTTTGGGTCTCTGCAACGACTACCCCGTTCACCTCTCCTCCAGGTGTAAAGCTATGGGTCTGCTGACCCGCCCAGCTCCGAGGGAGGGCTCAGAAGGGCCATCCATACCATTATGCAGGGTGAGGCAGCCTCCTCAGGCAGAAGATGTTGGGTGCCACTAAATTTGTTGCTATTGTATCTTTATGGCTGGAGATGAGGTGAGATACTTGAGGAATGTTTTGCCTTTGGCCAAAATAACTTGGTTGAGGCAGTGTGCACGTTGACCTTAGGGAAAGGCACATTACTTACCCTGCCTCAGAGAGCAGAGCGACTTTGGCAAAGAGGAGCATCGGGCAACAGTTGAACAGCTGGGAACTCTCAGGCGAATTTCATCGTGTATGGAAGGGAGGGCCACAAAAACAGG